GCCTAAATAACTCAATGTGATAGCTCTGAAACTTTTTTTGACAAATTTTGGGGAGTGGCCATGAGGGAAGGGGTTGGACACTTTTCACTAAGAGACCACTCAGTGCCGTTTCAGGAGGAACAAAAACGAATCATCGGGAAAATAAAAAGATCAAGCGCAGGTGTTCTGTGGCAAAGATGATGATAGTAGAGCGTGTATTTTTGTGACTTATGGTAGCTTTAACTTCGCTCTTAAAATTCTGAGTAATTTAAGGGTTCACATTTGAAGACTGTGCTACATTATTGATAACATGTTATTGCAAGTAAATGCATTTCAAAATTTGCTATTGGTTTTGTATTAGATTATTCGCAGCCTACTTCCCTATCAAGCTCTATTATTTTATTCATGCAGTTCGACGATCTTATGGCCGAGAAGGAAGCTATATCTTCAAAATGTGTCAATTTGGCTAAAGACAATCAAGTTCTTCAACAGGAGTTTTTATCTATGAGAAAAATACAAGAGAAATGTGAAAAACTTGAGGAGGATAAAAAGATGTTGGAAGAAGAAGTATTAACTCTTAAGACACATATGGAAAACAATATGGTAGAACTTGGTAAAGCACAAGAATATAAATCGGAGCTAGATGAAAAGACAATGCAGATAATAGAAAAATTAGAAGAAATCCATTTACAGGTTAGTTTTTAAAGTCAGGTAAGTTTATCTGTAATGTGCTTTCATTTGTTTCACTGCAAATTATATTTTGGATATGTATATATTGTGTTTCCTCTGCCTCTCTTACAGCAATTTCCTTTGTAGGGTTCTAGGAAAAAAGTGGCATCTTTTTTCTTTTAAATATTTAAATTTCCATTATTTTTATAACAAAATTCATCTTTCAAAGTAATGATTCTCACTATAGAGTCATTTCAATATTAAGACCAGTTGGCATAAGAAAAAATTGTGATTTAGAAATTATGTGATACTTTTGAATTGGTCTTAAGCTATGTTGTTCATTGTTCACTTTTTAAAATTATAAATGGATTCTATTATTTTTATATGACTAGATTACATTAATACTGACATAATTATTATTTCAAATTTATTTAAATTAGACTTAATTCTGAATTCAGTTATTAGTTTTGTTGATATTGCTGATAAATATGTTAAGTTTCAGCTTCTTTTTTTAATGTATTAAAAATTGCTCTTTGAGTCACTGACTCAAAATGAAAGACCACAAACATGGTAATTAGGTAATAATGGTTTTAAAAGTGTATTCTTTCATTTGTTTTAGGAACAAGCACAGTATGAAAAACAATTAGAGCAGTTAAACAAGGATAATACGGCTTCACTAAATAGGAAGGAACTCACACTTAAAGATGTGGAATGTAAATTCTCCGAAATGAAAACTGCTTATGAAGAGGTTACAACCGAATTGGAAGAATATAAGGAAGCCTTTGCAGCAGCATTGAAAGCTAACAATTCCATGTCAAAAAATTTAATGAAGTAAGTGAAAACACACTAACAGAAAATGAATTAAGCTCATTAATTTGTTTTGAAAGTATAATTTTTAGTGAGATGGCTTCAGGAGATCAGTAGGAAGTGACTGCTAATCTGATAATGTAATTTTGGAAAACAATGTTAGTAAATAATCTTACCTTTAAAATGTTCTTCAAGGATAGTTTCTGTCTCTATGCTCTCTCTCTTTTTTTTTGCTTTTGTATGGCTTTTTTCCCCGAAGTCTCATGTAGTTAACCTGACCTGTTAGTTTTTTTCACTAAGTATTTTTGAAGCTTTATAATTAATAAAGTGATCTTGTTATAAAATTGCCAGAATTTCCCTAAATAGAAATATTAAAGAGTTTATTTTTTGGTAGATCACAACCTAAACCCAAAGTGTCGAGTTGTGCTTCTACTCTGGGCACATACTGGCACTGAGGCAAGAACTGTTTTTGATTGTGATCTTTAGTATTATCACTAGAGGGTGCCTCAAGAAAGACTATTTGTGTAACATTTTCAAGGAGTTACAGCAAGTTGTCCTTGTGAAATAGGGAATAATTATCACAGGAATGAAAAGAAGTGTAATCCACAAGGTGGTTAAAAGAAAAACACCATGTTCAGCCTGAAGGGGTATGTGGAAGGCAGAAAGAACAAGCCCCACCTGCAGT